GAGAGAGAGAGAGAGAGAGAGAGAGGAGAGAGGGAGAGAGGTGGAAGGGAAGGGGGAGTAAAATCTCATACTATACACCATGCATTACTTTGTTTGTGGTCATAAGTATATAAATAATATTTAAAACATTTTCAAGTCAAAATCTCTTAGAGTGTTTGTTTTAAACAAGTGGAACATATCCTACATTTGATTTGGCAACATTCTCTTTTCTGTTAACAATATGTTTTGGAAAGCTTTAAGAAATCTAACAGTTCAAAGCAGATAGAGCATTTGGAAACAGTTTGACGTGGAGGAAAGCCAACTGTGTCCAGGACTGGCCCAATGCCCCACTTCGTGCTATTCTCTCAGATCACAGGATCTGCACATTGGCCGGCTAAATGTGTAGACAAATTCCGTTGCTGACATCCAAAAACATCAGAGAGAGAACTGCAGGAGGAAGAACCAAAAGCCAAATGCTGTGATATGTTCAAGGGGCGAAAGGGTAAACCTAAGGGATTGAATGGCTAGATTTCCCACGCTTACAGCAGAGATTCATATAACTAAAGAAAAGACAGACACAGACAGATGTCAGCAAAATGAATACATAATAAATAAGGAAGAGGAAAGAAAATAAATAATGAATGCCGTGATTCAGTGGAATGAGTGTTCCGGAGCTACCAAGAAGCTTCAGCAGGGGTCAGCCAGTCTGCTGGAATTTCAGATGATTCGAGGCACAGCTCCTCTCGTTATTCAGTGTCATTCATCATCAGATACCAGATTCCCTTTCCTGCCACCAGATTGCAAGGTGATCTGGGCTCCTTGATCATCTCCTCACCCCTTTCTACTTTCAAGACCACTCCACTCTCAATCATAAAGGATAAAAAGCATGGATCGAGCACTTACCACATTTCCAGCTCTGTGCTGAGTATTTATAAACATTTAACACACACGACAACTCTCTGACATAGGAAATGTGGACATTGCTGAATTACCGATGAGACATCGAGACAGAGGACCTTGTGTGGGGTGCACAGTCTCTCAGCCACCTTTTTGCTCCTCCTGGCCTGGCTTTGTCAAGTGGACTCACACTCCTCTGCTTCCAGGGCTCTGATTCACCTGTTGGGTATCTATATTGTGACTTTTACATCCATCATGCTACTAAAAGTGTCCCGTCCAGGGTCCTAGGAGCATGCTCACGGCCCAGTCCAGGAAATTGGCCCTGGCTCTCTCAGCTTGGCCTTCTCCTCAGTCAAGGAACCTGAAATTAATTCTTTTCTTGCTTTTGTCATAACATGCCAGGCATTGGGTCTCTGCCTTATTCACTGATGATGTTTCCTTCGTGCTCCTAACCCTGAGACATACCCTAACTCTGACTCCGAGCTGTCCCCTCATCTCCTGCCTTGGCTACTTGGTCCACTTCACACCCAATCCTCCCATGAGTGGCGGGCTGGACTCCAGATCTGCCTCCTGCCTGCCTGGACTATTTCTCCATCCTGTCAACGTCAGGCTATATAAGGACGGGAATCTGGGCCCACTTGTGGGGATCCCCACCCACCGAGCCCTTACTTCTGAGTTGCCTCACACCAACAGCAGGCAGTTCCAGCAAGTGCCCCCTTGCCACATCAACCATCTGAGGCTCTTCCTTTTTCATTTCTTTTCTTTTTCTAGCTGCTCTGAGACATGCTCTCAGGGCTTGCTCAAGCAGCATCTCAGAAGATCCTGGTGTTCAATTCCCCCAAGGACAACCTTCAAACATAAGAGAAGAGACACTGAATTATCTACTCCAGCTGTCCCACCCTCTGATTCAGTGATGCTGAAGTTTATTCCACCCTGTTACCCAGAGTCTGCAGCGAGATTGAGCCCTGTACACCCAGGGCAGAATCTCTCACTCAACGCCACATATGAACTTTTCCCCTCCCAGTTCATTCGTGCTTCCAAAAGAGAAACTCCAGAATCACACACAAATGCTTTCCTAATTCAAGGAGATTCCAAAATAAGACACTGCCCACAGATCATTATTTCTTTCTCGATGCTTTATGTGTTCCTACAATTCTCTAATACTCCCAGACATTAGAAGTAGTTTTGACCCGTTTTCTCTTTTAGCCGACAAAAGTTCCTCCAAAGTGCTTTCTGGAATTCTTGAAATTCTGGTTTCCACGATTCTATAACTCCAGCCCTAGTTCACATTCTTTCATCCTCTCACCTTACTCGCTCAGCTCCCGTTGCTCACAGCAGTCTGTCTGCCGGAGATGCTCCTCTGACTTTGTGAGGCTCCCTTCCTTCCCTTCATCTCTTTAAGAGGGGCTCAGTGACCATCACCTGGTTAATCAGACTGACCAGGTTACACTGCTAACAATGTAAGCGCAGGTAAATGGTGCTTGTGCAGGTAGACAGATTCACTCATTCCCCAAATTGTGCTGAACCAATCTCCAGAGTTTCACCGGCAAAGCTGCACCCGAAAGCCTGTTACTACAGCCAGCAGCCCGAGCTGGTAGATTAAATTAGCCTACCCTATGCGCCAACAGCATTCTACCAGTTAATATTCTTGGTCATTTGTGGCACCGTGTGGGAGAATGTTGGTGGAATTATGTGTAAAGTGGGTACTGTGTATCCCAGAGGTTCCATGAAGAAGGAGAGCAGGTAGCGTTCTGTTTGTAAACCTAAAAATGTTCACCATTTGCTCACCAAATATCTCTTTGGCACCTGGTACCAAATAGTGCGCTAAGCACAGTGATGCCATGATGATAAAGAGGAGAGATGAGTCCCTTTCGTTATGGAGGACAGAGTAAATTAAGTCAATGACTGAATTAAATAATTGCAGCGTGTGGTAAGAACAAGGAGAGACACAAACCTAAGTCTCACAGAGGCTCTAACTTGGACAGGCTTCTCCAGGGATGGGACACCTCACAAACAAATGGAAAGGAGATCATCCATTGCCAGTAACGTGGGCCCTTGCACCTGATTTGGTCATCTGAGCAACCGGACTGGCCAAAGAAAGCTTCCTGGGGTAGCTGGGCTTGACCGTGGCTTTAAAAGTAGAGAAATTTGGTATCAGCGTAATGTGGAGGTGACTGAGTTGGAGGAGGTGAGGGTATGGAAAAAAAAAGTGCATCCTCAGGAGACCATGAGAAGAGGGCAAAGCTTCCCTCTTCTGCTAGAGGCAGAAGTGAGAACAAGAATGGAGCAGTTCTGCACCCAGGAAACATAGCAGCCATCTCTGCAGCTGCTCAACTGAGGTCCCTGTCTCCCCCTAGGAATGAAGTGGCTCCACAAAGCCCCAGACACCCAGATGTGTGCCAGGTGTTGGAGAGCAGGGTACCCACTAGAACACACCTTCCTCCTTTCCTAGACCTGGCAGAATCAAATATGGCAGCAGGTACAGAAGTCCCATCTGGATTTTGCAAGATGCTTTGTAACACAGATGTTCTCCAAGCCTTGAGTTCAGGCACTCACCTCAGATGACCTCTTTTCTCTCTTGGTTCATTTCTTCTCCTCCCAGGAGCAGGTCAGATGGGTGGGAGATATGGTTGAGCAGCACTGGGAAAATGCCTGGGCCCCACCCACCCTATCACCACCCCGGAAGGAGGAGGCACACACGGGCGCTCCCCTGGAAACACTAAAGCTTTGTTTGCTGCAGGTTCAGAAATCAGCCACCTCACTTACCTTACCCAACAATGAAAGCTGTCTCCGCTTCCTCCTCTTTCACCATGGAATTTGGGGAGCTAGAAGAGGAAGGGAAACGAAGTCCCAGAAATGAAGGATAGCTAACAATGGTCAACGTGCACATCCAAACCTGCCCCCAACCCCCAGTATCTCTTCTGTCCTTACAGATGAGCAAATCGGCTTCAAGAGATGGAAGAGCTAGACCCAGATCACATGGTGGGCAGATGCCTGGTCGGGCTCTGAACTGCAGTTGTTTCAACTCTGTAACCTGTGAATTTTCCTTCGATATCTCCTGCCTTCTTGCTAGCCGGACTATAGCCTGGTTAGAGAGATGCTGTCTGTGCAAGGAACCAGAAGCAGGAGAAAAGAGAAGGCCTAGATGCAAGTTCTAGGTCAGCCCTTAATGAGCAGAGTCTGGGTTTCCTGGGGGAAAACAGAGGGTTGTCCTCCTGCACACATTTCCAAAGGAGTCAGGAGCCACAGGTCTTTTCCACAGGCTCCACTGAAAAGAAACAGCTGATGGACAAGAATAAAAGCCATCACATTTTCATTCACTCCCACATTTATTCATTCACTCATTCATTCAATTAAATATCTATTAAGTTTCCAGGCATTAGGACCAGGGCAGAAACAACACAAATATTACCCTTTAACCTGGAAGCAAGAGGCATATTCTTTGGAAATTCATGTCATTCTTCATTTTAGAGAGCTAGAAATCAAGACCCAGACACAGCAAGTGACTCTTTCATGGTCACAATGGAGGTAGCACCAACCACTAAGCCCCAGGGTAGCCAACCTGACAGTGGGGTCTAGCAGCAACCATGGCTTTTACCACTGGCAGCACCACCAGTAGTTCAACACCGTCAGCAGCAGCCACTTCAATGGAAAGAACAACTCCTTAATCATTTTACCCACAAACTGGTCTCTTTAACCTCTTTGTTTTCAAAAAATATCTGAGTCAAGGGGGAAAAAAAAATCTCTAAATGGACCTACAATAAGTAAAACATTTTTTTGTGTTTTGTTTCTTTTCTCTACTGGGGATTGAACTTAAGACCTTCACGCTGAGCTATATGTACACCTTTTTTTTTTTTCAAATTCTGAGACTGGGTCTCTTTAAGTCATTAAATTTTCCAGACTGGGCTCTAACTTCCAATCCTCCCTCCTTAGACTCCCAGAGTGCTGGGATTACAGGGGTGTGCCACACTTGCCTGGCAAGAATTTTGAATAGAGACAAAAAGAAAACAATAACACCAACAAACAAGCCACAAAGGAAACCCAGTACAAGACAGTTTAAATGCAGTTAAATATTTAAAGAATTAACACTAATCCTTTATAAATGCTTTGAAAAAAGCAGAAGAGAGAGGACCATTTCCCAGCTCATTTTATAAGGCCAGTATTACCCTAATAGTAAAATGAGACAGACATCACAAGGAAAGGAAATTACAGACCTACACACCTTATAAATATAGATGCAAAAAATCCTCCGCAAAATAGTAGCAACTAAATTCAGCAGCATATATATATAAAGATATTGGCAGAACATACTCATCAATATTATATACCTGCATGGTTTACAGCTAAAACGTCCCCCAAAGTCTCATGTGCTCATAGGTAGGGCTTTTGAAAGGTGATAGGTTATGAGGCAATACAGCTGATTTGTTGTTTGTAGGTAGAATCTGGTTGGAAGAGGTGGGTCACTGTGGTCATGGCCTGGAAGGGTCTATCTCCCTTTCCACCTTCTCCCTTTGCTTTCTGCTTCCTGTTTACCATGCTGAGAGCATCTCTGTTCCACCAGGCCTCTCTGTCATGCTGCCCTTCCTTGGAGCCAGCTGACTATGGACTGAGACGTCTGCAAACTGTGAGCCAAAATAAACACGTCCTCCTTTAATTGGTGTCATGTATTGTGTCTCAGAGTTGAGGAAAACAACTGAGACAATATCATATTAATTGAATAAAGGACAAAAACAATTAGGTCATCTGAATTGATTTTTTAAAAAAGCAATTGGCAAAGTCCAACACTTTTCATTATAAAAGTACTTAGCAAAGTATGCGTGGAAGGGAACTTCCTTGCCTCGATATTTGACAGCTGTGAAAAATGCACAACTAACATTATACTGATGGTTAAAGGCTGGCGTGTTTTTTTGGTCAGGAATAAGACAGGCTATCCCCTCTCAGCAGTTCTGCTCAACATTGTACTGGAGGTCCTAGTCAGAGCCTTAGGAAAGAGGATAAAATAAGTTATCCAGAGTCGGAAGAAGTAAAACTATTTGAAAACGACAGATGCTGCTGGGAATGTGAAGGAATTGGAAGTCTCACACTGCTGATAGGAATGCAACATGGTGCGGCCTCTTTGTAAAACACTCTAGCACTCTTCAGATGACCAAACAGAGCTTCCATATGCCCTAGCAATTGCACTTCTGGATATATATACCCAAAAGAACCGAAGACATACGTCCCTACAGAAACTTGTACACAAATCTTCACAGCAGCATTACTTATGATAGTCCAAAGGCAAAACAACCCAAATATCCATCAAGAGATGGATGGATGAGGAAAATGTGTACATCTCTACAATGGGATACTATCCATAAAAAAGGATAAAGTCGGCTCTCTCTCTCTTTTGATCAGAGACAGCCCGGCAGATTGTCCCTGCAATAAAGGCTTATAGGGGTTCTGGTCTGGTCTTGATTTTCAGCCTCTTTTACCTGACATATCTGGTGCCGAAACCCGGGAGGAAGGCGGTCGATTAAGTGACGATCCCCTGCGGGACAGGGTCGATTGGCCTTTTCAACCATCTCCTCTGGACCACATCTGCCGAGGCAGGATCTCATCGGGCTCCTTTGCCTTTGCCAGTGCTGATCATATGCATCCACACTGGTCACCAGGGTGCGTAGGCAGTTTAGCTTCCCTCTACTCGGGTCTTCTGTCTCATTCTCATCCTCTTCCTCTGGGGATTTCTCAGAAATCCAAGCACTTGGTCAGAGAGACCCTCTCAGGCCGCTGGACCCAGGACCATGCTCCTGAGGCACCCTATTGGTCTGACTCCTCTCATTCTCCCCTCCTGGGGACTGGCTCAGGAGTATCAAAAGAGAAGAAGATGTTCCTCTCTTTTGCCCTCCTCCTAGGAAGATAACTCCTCCTCACCTGCCCTAACATGGGTGCCTAACAATCCAAACCCTCTCCCTCAATACTGCTTGGCTGCCTCCTGTCACAACTTCGTTCCCTTGGATTGTCAGGACCCGATTTTAAGCAAAAACAACTCATTTTTTTATTGCAACCAAGTTTGGCCTCAGTACAAATTAGACAATGAATCTCAATGGCTGGAAAATGGCACTTTCAATTTTAACACATTGCATGATTTGCACAACTTTTGTCAACGCAATGGCAAATGGTCAGAAATCCCCTAATACAAGCCTTCTTCTAGCTACCCTCTCACCCTTTCCTCTGTCAATCTTGTTCACCCTCACAGGTACTTCTAGGCCAAACTCTGTCCTCCACCCCTCCCGACTCTCACCTTTGATCTGGCCGATCACTCACTACTTACAACTCCCCCACCCTGTAACCCGGCCATCTCGTCCATCTCCTCACATGCTTCTTCACGTCTGGCATCTGGTGACCCTTCCTCACCTCCTCCATCTTGTGACCCTTCCTAATCTCCGCCATCTTGTGTCTCTCCACCACACGCCTGCTCGCTTTCTGCTCCTCCAGCCCCTCCCTAACAGGAGAGCTAGTTAACAACCACTTCTCCGTCTGCTCTTCCTTCCCCAGCTTCCATGGGAGAGAGAGGAAAGCAAGACTCTGCAAAAAAAGTAAAATCCTCTCCTGGCCCTGCCTATTGGCATATCAGTAACTTGTTTGGCAGCCTACATTAGAAACTCCATTGGGCCTATTGTTTTCTACATAAATATTGGAAAATAAAATATAAGGTTTTAAAACAATATATATATATATACACACACACACTATATATATACACTATATAGTATATATATAATATATATTATATACATACATATGTGTATGTATATATACTATATACACACTAT